GTTATATATTGGTCCTTTTATATTTTTCTGCTTTTATTTCATTTCGGTGCTCCACACACTTCTAATTGGTGGATTCTTCTTGCAGTTATTTTTGTCTTTCAGTGAAAGGCTCCATGATTAAAATGCACCGTCAGACTCTGATCCTGGGAAATATGTGCATTTTGTGTTTCTGCATCTCTCCGGCTCAGGAGCCTCTGCACTGCGATGGTTCCACCACACTTTGTCGAGCTTTAAAAGCTTCCATCTCTCCTGTTTGCTCAGCAAACACCAGTTTTTACCCCGATCTGCATTTCAAGCTGTGACTGGAATCGTCTTTTTTTTTCCCAACCGCAGAGTTTTAGTGCCTGGATCTGACCTGCATCCCAGTCTGGGTCCTGTGGAGCTGGATTCTCAGCGCTCGTCGGGGGTGCTCTGCTGGAGCGAACCGATTCGTTTTCCTCGGCGTGCGTTTGCTCCCGAGGGACTTTGGCRGGCTCCTCTTTCCCCTCGTCGTCCTCTTCGTCGAACTCCAGCTGCATCACAGACACGGGCCCCCGGAGGACGCCGGGCTCTCGAGTGGGAGATGACGTCATCGGCTCCTGGAGGCGGACACAAAAGCGGAGGTTTTAAAAGCCCGTGAAGCCCACCTGCGAGTTTGACGCTGCGACGCTCACCAGGACGAGAGGAGGGAGCTGAGTGGAGGACAGGCGGGCACCGTCGGGAGCGTAGAGCCTCAGCAGGTTGTTGGGCGTCACGTTCAGGTAGTGGTTCCGGTGGGAGGGAGAGAACACGCCCACCTGATCAAACACATTTAAAAGTTTGTTTAGAAACTGCAGGTGTTCGTTCACGACAGCGGGCGCCGAGCCTCACCTGCTTCAGCAGCAGCACGGCGCCGACCTTCAGCTCCTCCGCTCGTTCCTCCACCAGACGCCGATGCACCGTCCCCTGAATCTCCCCTTCGGCCCAAAAGAGAGAAACACTTAATTTAAACAACAACTGGCTCAAACAGGTGACGAACCAACAAAATCATTATTAATCCAGAGTAAAGTGCAGGTCAACGTGGGCAGAAACCTCTTATTTACCAGGAGTTTCTGCTGAGGGAGCCGTTAGCAGCAACATGTGTGTTAGACGAGCAGAATCTGCCTCTCCTGCTCGCCGGCACGAAAAGCTCGGGTAGATTTGCTGCTTCCTCTCAGAACATCCCCGAGATCTCACTCAGGGGTGGGCGAGGATGAAAGAGCTCAGCAAAACCCTCAGATCYGCAGAGATCTGGGTTCTGATCCACTCCGCAGACGAGCGGGAAGCGGCCGGGACGAGAGCCGGCTCCTGCAAGTCTGAGGTCACGGCCCGGAACCGTGGCACAGGCGGAGCGCTAACAGAARCCTTTAAAGATCATTTTCCATTGAGTTTTGTGCTTATTTTTAAATTTAACACTATAAAGTTTGATTTTTAAACCAGGTTGAGGCTAAAATATGATGCTAGATAAAAATAAATAAATAAAACATCAGATTATTTCTGAGAAGTAGGAGTGAGAAAATGTAGAGGATCTTCTGGGAAAAAGAAGAAAAAAAAAGCTGCCAACCTTCCTGTAGGCGGGAGGCTCATTACTGAGAGAACAGTCACTCTTGGTGTCAGGAGCACTTAATACACACCCACRACCGACACCAGTCCACTGCACCTGAATCACTAACAGGCACTTAAATCAGACCCTGAACAACATCCACTCCTGCTGATGATCAGAACGCCACACCGGGCCGGACCCGCTCAGCTCCGGGGGGTATCAGACGGAGGTTTAGGACGACTGTGTGTGTGTGTGTGTGTGTGTGTGTGTGTGTGTGTGTGTGTGTGT